GCTCTGGCAGTTGGTCAACCAGTCCTTCTTAGAGCCAGTCTTTTAGAAAAAACGTACTCCACTACAACTACATCCTACTCCTCTTGTATAAGCATTACCTTCATATTCTTCAAGTTGTCATGTAATGGGTAGGGATTGAAGAGAGGCCGTAGCCTCTGAACATTCGTCACTACCATAACTTTTCCAAATTAACCTTCTCAGGATTTTGTTATGTCTGTCGTATCCAAGTCTACCTGATGAGACTTGGTACTGGGCGTAAAGCCTCTTCTTTACTTTCACTTATACGTTCTTATACTTCACAATAAAATAATTGTTTCAATGTTATTAACACCTTATCTCCACCCCTTTTTTAAGGAAGCCAAATAAAATGATTAAAAAGTACAGTAGAAAATATTAATAACAATTTCGGCTCACGAATGCTTGCTTTTTAACTTGGTCTAAGCATCATGGCTAATATGTTGTTATAACCACTTTTACTAGCGCTCTCAAATCACTGGCAAGCTCCTCGGGTCACGTTGGTAAAGAAATTTGAACATAGATGGCATTGTCACATACTTAACATACATTAGATTCAGATAGAAAAATAAAACGTGTGTGGGGAGGGAGGGGGGTAAGAGAACAACAATAAGTAGTGTTTTCAGTCGAATATATGCGATAACTTATTGTTTGGTGAAAGCCTGTATCTTGTCAAACACTTTCAACATAAGGCGTATAAATTTGTATTTTGTATTTTTGTCAAAACTACTATGGGTATCTGCAGCCAGACCTAATTTTGAACTGAAACTAAAGCATAGTATGTAAGTGACATGTCTTTAATTGAAGCAAGTAAATGATTCCGCTAATATCTGTATTAAATAATATATCTATATTTTATTATGTACTTTCCACGGAACTGGATTACAGCTACATTAAGAATATTGATTATTTTATGTAACGTGTTATACATAAGGAGTTAAAAGGGAGAATCAAACGGCTGATGAAACTCAACAGCTTAACAAACATAGTGAACAAATATTTTGCCTATTAAAGCTATCGACGAAAAGGTTAAACTCAAAAGTTTAACAAACATTTTTTGTTATGTTGCTACATTGTTGACAGAAAGCTCTGAGAGAATAGTCTTTTGTTTTAGTCACTTAATATGTGTTGTATAATTGGCTGAATCAAAAACTTTGAAAAATACGTTAAGGAAGAAGATAAAAATTATTATCCTGTAGAAATGTGTTGTAATTTAATTAACTATATTATATTTTTTCATCAATCACTGCTTAATAAGTACAAAACGGAAAATACGAAGATACATTTATTAAGTAAGGTTAGCTTAAAAAAGAATCAAAGTGTTTTGTTCTAACGTTTCTGTTAGTAGGAGTTTGATGTTCATTTCAGAAAATATGATTTAAGTGATGTTATTTTGATCATTTTGGAATAAAAGTAAAAGACGTATTAATATACAAAACGTCATTCCATTGCAGACACACACACACATGTAAAAGGGGTTCTTCGTTAGGATACTGAAATAAGAGCAACTGTAAAAAATCATTGTTTTCTATCTTAATGGTAAAGAAAGGGATCAACAGTAGGAAAAATTAACTATTTCATACACCGAAATGCGATAATGCCGCTTCTTAACCACAGTTTCAGGAGTTTTAAGATCACACGAGTGTTTTTTTATAACAGTTAATCATAAAAATGAATGTTGAAATCTAGGTGTAACATTCATTAAACTTCTTAACTAAAACTATTAATTGAGAAGTAGTTCCCCCTTTTTTTTCACAATTTGTATTTTTAATCTGACAGACAAGTTATATTGTATATGGACTAAATGACTAAGTCAGAAAACCCCGAGTTTCAGGTATAGCCGTTACTAATTTTTAGCTGCTGATTAGAGGGAGGGCAATTATCCAGTAGCGCACGCCGCCTAAACGGTTACTCTTAACACAAATAGCGGGATTTATTGTAACTTTATAATGCGCCCCTAGCTGAAACATGGGTGTATTGTCCATTTTATACCTGTATTTTCAACGTGCTACAGAATAATAATTTGGAGTTTAATAGTATTTTATTGATCAATAACAAATTATCATAATTATAGGTTTAAATTCAATTAAAACATTAATGGATTCATTGGAAACAAATTATCAATTAAATATCCTTCCCACTCTTGGCTCAGAGGTAAGCTTGAGAGCTTATAATGCTAAAATTAGGGATTTGATCTCTGCGGTTGGCATAGCCCAAGTAGCTCATTGTGTAACTTTGAATTTAAACAAATATAAAATTTAAAAAAACGGCCAATATAAAGTTAGGTTATTATACAAACCCAATGCAATATATTAACCATAAAAGCGATACGTTACACAACGCGATAATTGGTTTACAAAAGTTCCTAAAGCTCCCAGTATGCGCAGTTGGTAATTAACAACGTGAACATAACGTACTTGTAACTTCTTCACGTTTTGGATAACTTTAGTATGAAAAAGAATACGTGATAGATCTATATATGAGATGGTTGTATAAACAACTTTATTAAAGAGTAACATGTGTACACTTTTATGACAAACAACACCGGAAGTCAAGTGTTTAAATCAAGCATACATCATATATGATACAATCTCAAGGACAACTAGCGACTGTTATTTTTCCATACATAACAGATATATTATTTAAAAGAGTCAAGAAAGGCTAACACAAGTCATGTTACCCATATAAGTCTGATATCTTGGTAACAGTACGCTTAAAAACCAAGTAAATATGAAAGTGATTGTTTCAAGATTACATTTCTTGTTCACACTTGCTCTTAATGAAAAAATAAAATCAAGATATTATACTTTATTGTTTTTTCACTCAACACTAAAATCATTGAAGGTACAAAAACGTGGGTTCACTGGGATGTAAGCACTTTCTGTATGTGAAACTGTTCTGGTAAATAAATTTCTCGCAATAAGAAATTTAGGGAATGGTAAAAAAATAAAGTTTCAAATGAAAGTGCTTATACTATATTCATAAAATATATAATTTTAAAAGGTTTGTGTTTTGTATATATGTGTGATTATTAGTATGTTAATATACTATACAATAAAATCAATAGTTGTAGTACATTAAAACCATACATACACACACACACATATATATATATATATGTTAGATGATTGTTAGATGTTAGTATACTATACAATAAACATTAGTACATTAAAACTATTTAAAGTTACATTATTTAAATTACTACTTTCCAAAAGATAGGATTACTACATTTTTGTTTGAAACTTGTAACGAGTAAAAGATTTCGTTATTGTTTTTCTGAAGATCTTTGCCCTATATCTCTAATATCACAAATAGACATTTAACAATGAGTATACCACTTTTAAAATGAAATTAGTGTGAATATATTTTAACATTACATAGAAACTACTAAACCTTAAAATCACTTGAAATGTATATTTTACTTATATATTTAAAATGTTATTTTTTTTTGTAGAAATGCCCCTGGTGTGGTACAATCTCACATTACTATTCTGAAACAGTAAAATATAATCAAGAAATGTTTATTTAGGAATAAAATAAATAGGAACAAAGAATGAGATATAATTTTTTTTCAAAAAAAGAAATAAAATAATAATAAAAATACAAACAACAAAACCGTCGGAATTCGATACCCAAAGTGTATAGAACACGCAGAGCTTATTGTGTAGCTTTGTTCGTAATAAGAAACAAAGAAACAAATGAATAATATAGTTATTATATATATTTGACCACATAAATGTTCATTTTTGAAAATTTCTTTTCCAACGCATAGTTATAATTATCATTTAAAGTGCTTCATAATATTTCATAATTAAAGATATAAAAGTAATGTAGTGTTAGTTATTCCTTGAGGATTATTAGAAATTACTGCTATTGTTGATGCATCCGGCCTTCGTTTATTTAAAAAACTTTTAAAAATAATATAATAAGATTTTGTTTTGTAACATATGTCTAGCAGCGTTGCCCGGGTTTTCGAAAAAACAAATAAAAAATTTCGATGGGTAAACATTTTGTGAATTTATGAAAAAAAAAAACCTTAGGTTTTATTTTTGAACATAAACTACGAACCTGTTTTAAAACATGGCTTCCTTATGTACGATGGGTTTTTATTTGTTGTTTTTTTCCTTCACTGGCAAGGATAAATAGGCCCTTATGGATTATTTAGATTATCTTATAGACGTATGAGTACCCGTTCTAGCGAACAAGATAAGTCTAGCTCTATTCCCCCATCCCCGGCATCCCTCTTCAAATACTAGAATTTCAAACGTAAATATATAAGTAATATTATGTTTATTATTTGCTTTAATGTAAATTTGTTATATTTTTATTAATGTGATACCCTATTCACATTATGACATTGATGTATGAAATATACTACAAACAAAATGCAATATTGTACTTTATAATGTCTCAAAAAAAAATAAATCCACTTCCAGATATCGAACCACCCGGAGGAAAACAAATAGAATAAAATACATTATCTGACTTGAATTTAATCTCATTTTACACAATAAGTATTATAATGTAGGCCTTACTCTTTTCACTAAGTCTACAGACAACCTAATTTTATTTTATAGACTAGGCCTAGTGTTTGTTTTTTCACACACAACATGCTAATTCTGCATATATTTCATTTGTGTGTGAGGTTAAATATATAATGCATTAATAGATGTATAATTAATAAATTATAACTAAGCCTGTCTATTCCAATGGTAATAAATAAATAAATGAAAATACAATTTCCAGGTTCAACCCATCTTCTACCTCATGCAAGCACTCTACCAATTAGGCTGACTTGACTTTAATCTTATTGCACACACTAAGTATTATAATTTAAGCCTTACTCTCTTCACGTAGTTTATTTTATGGCAGACGGCATGATTTTATTTCATAGGCTAGTCCTACTGTTTACTTTTTCACACATGACATTCTAATTCTACATACATTTCTTTTGTGTGTGAGATTGAATGTATGATGTATTAGTAGAAGTATAGTTAATTATCTATAACTAAATAGGCCTATAATGCTATATTCTAAATAAAATGTCAACTCAAACTTACCCAAAAATGTCAAATCTGCGTAGAACTTATGTTAACGTTAAAATTACCCGTTCGGCTAGCAGACAATAGTCGCGAATATCAACAAAAATTTTTCATTTTGCGCACCTTCACATGGAGAAGTGTAAACTGAGCAGTGAACGCGGCGAACAAACAAGCAGCAAATAAACAAACAGAGAGATTTTGAGTTTTATATATAGATAATATTATAACACTATCCATTTCTAATACTGTGTTTTATAATTACATATTTTCCGTCGTCTTATCACTTACAGATACCTCCCAGTGGCACAGCGGTATGTCTGGGGACTTACAACGCTAAAAACCAGGTTTCGATACTTGTGATGGGTACAGCACAGATAGTCCATGTTGTAGCTCTGTGCTTAACTACATACTATTAAATGACTAGAAACTTAAAATTACGCTCGATAAAAGAATAGAAGAAACAATAATTTAGATTATTTAGGCTTAGATTACCATGAAAAGTGTGAAAAACTTAAGATTTTATCTTAATAATTCTTTCCTTTGAAATATGAATAGGACGGTTAAGTATATTATCGCTTTATTGACGGACAAGTTATATTAGTTGTTACTTTATATTAGAGGTCATCCTCATTTCCAACTAAGCTAGTTAGACAAGCGTGCTTCTCGTCGATTTCCGAGTTGTCATTCATGCTGGTCATACATTGTAATGTTTCCACGTGAAAGGAATTTTGCTCGACATCACTGTAGAACCTTGCACTATTTAAAAGAGGGCGCTCTTTAAGCCAGACCATGAATCCAATCAGCCCCATAAAAACGATGATGGCAGCCATATGCCAGGCAAAGATGGCAGTAACCAACATGATCTGTTGATGGTTGTTAGCATCCCACGGCAATACGCCTGGAAAAGGGTTATATAGGATGAAGCCAATCTGATAAAACCAAGTGCCTTGCAAAAGAGTGAAAAAGGCACGAAGTAGAACGACAAGGACGTTCTCTCTGTGATTAATTTCTACAACCAACACGATGGCGCTAGCAACTACTGTGTACAACAATAGCGTGTGCACATGAGCATCCATATCTGAACGCCCATGGAGGTGAAAATGAAATAACAATCCTTCAACACTCAATGCCATCACCATAGAAACGTAGTCCGAATCAGGCGGAATTGGTAACTTGTAGAAATGAAAGATATCGACTACTCCGTTCACTCCAAAGAAGAAGAACATTGTAATATGATGTGCATTCACCATGGCAGTAAATCGACCTTCACTGTCGAACGCTGTCACAGCTTCTCCTGTAATCCCAATAGCACAAAACAACACCTTCATAACTCCTTCAACAGGTACATGCGGAAAACAGCGACATGGAAAAGTAGCGCTAGCACAGAACTGAACTAGAGGACTTCGTCGGTTGAGGGTGCGGAAGTAACGATTGAAGAGAGATATTGTCCACCAGGTGGCGAACAAGATGAAGAACGAACCAGGTAAGATATGCCCGCCAAATGTTCCCATCTTTTGTTGATATAATTTCTAGCTGTCTTCTGCATCAGCTTGAAACGGCTGCTTTCCTGAAGCCTACTGACTGAAATTCAAGAAAAATAAGCTATAAACTGTATAATATGTACACCATTTTATATTTCACTTACAATAAAATGCGTTATTCAATCTTTTAAAAACAATATTTCATTAAACCTATTAAAGATATAGAAATTATAAGTGGAGAGTTATACTGACTACATAATGACGAATAGGAATGATCTGTATCATCTATTTTACACCAGATTATTGTAATTCACCTTTTGCTTAATCATGCTTATGCTTTAATATAAATCAACTACATTTAGTTTTGTAGACCGACTTAGTGATTAATGTTAACTTTATAATATATATATATAATACACACACACACACACACACACAGGAGTAGATTGTGCCTATAAAAAAGCGACTCCAGTGTCTGGTAGTGACGTTATTTCTAGTTAGTGCATCAAAGCAAAACAATTTTTATTGAATCGAAACTTTTATATGAATCGCGAAAGGCTCTATCATAAAATTTTCAATGAATTAATAAAATCAGTTATGGCGCAAGCATGATCAATAGCTTGCTGAAAGTAAATTATTATAATTAAATACCAGGTAATTATACTACGTAAAGTGCATATATAATATATAGATAAGGAGTGATTCTAAAAAAATTGAAAATGACAACATTCTGCATATTACATGTGAAATATGCAAACAGTTTGTTTCAATTGCTTTTCTTCAGCTCCTTTCTCTCCTCCCTCTAAAAAAAGAAAACAGGACGGAAATTATCGGTATTCTTGAATATGTAACAATGATAAAATGACATGGCTTGATTTAAAACGGCCCATCGTAATGCACAGAACCGATATTTAGGGGATGTTGTAACAGGAAACGTTATTTTGTTGCAAGCTTAAACATTAGGAGTATCTACAATACAAACGACTCTGAAACGTTAGTGGCTCAACTCGCAAATACCTTGCCTCAGACATTATTTTAGGATTCATTGAGCATTTCATCCCAGCTAAATGAACTTCATAAGTAAAGCTAGCCTGACTGCTGGCTGCATACCACTTCTGTCACATTGTCCGTCTGACTTTCCCCATACGTTCCGGTTAGTACCTTCGTGATCAGTTGACATTTATCAGATGATGACATTTATTTCCCGTTACAGCATCTGCTATGGCTCAAACTCCAACTACAACATGTGGAATCCAAGTTATACTCTCAGTGGATCTTCTGCGACACAGCATCAGATGTTACTCAATATATTGCTAGTAATGTCGGTGTCTCTCAGAGTCAAGGACATTGAGATGCTGTGTTCATTTTGTGTCTTCCACCATCATTGTAACCTATTCTTATTCCTGTTAACAAATGAATAGCATCTACTTATTGTACCTGATGAGGAGTGGGATTCTGATGGGAAGAGTAATGCACATGGTGAAGGTGGCCAAGTTACACTACATTAATTTCATTCGAGTGCTTGGCAGTATAATTAAAGCTAATATTTGTTTCATATGGGTGTCAAGTAATATACAGGAGACGCATATCAATATTTTACCTGCCCATTCTATCATTTGGACTACCATAAGGAAATATGATCATGTAAATCCCTCCAGCTATTACCATATAAACTAATAGCTATAATACAATTTTTAAAAATAAAATTATGACTTCTGTAATCAATTCATAAATAATTAACAGAGAAAATATAGCATATAGGTTCACACGTGTTAGTGGCTGTCAATTTGGGAATTATGACACGTTAAGAGTATAATGTTGCATATGTTTAAAATATTTCTTAAATGTATTAACAGAATTATCAAAAAGCTACATCTTTTATAACAGCAAAAGTAATTTACTGCTTGTCTCAATAATGCTTATTTCAGCTTATAAGTAAGTAAAGTTCTCTTTTATTCGGAGGCTCTGTTCATTATTGGCCCTTGCTAAAATTTTAAACCAATAGGAATGAGCAAAAACGTCACTATATTTTAGGACTAGTAGTAAATTAACATAATCAACACCTGACTATCTGGTCCAAGACAAATTTCCTATCATTTTACGATGCAATGTTGCCATGGGTATTTTATGGTTGTCACAGCCTTTTCAAGAAAGGATATTAAGAGGATTTCAACATTTACCACAGAAACAGAAAATTTGTATATTAGAGGAAGGACAGTAAAACGTTCTGACACCACATTCCAGGCAAATACGAAGTAAAGCTCTCATGCAAAAAATTAAAGTTCTTTTTATGAAAGAAATCTCTGCGACTCCAAAAGTTATTGCAATAAACCTGAGCATAACCTATGGTACCTTTTAACAGTTAGGAAAATGAACAAACATTCCAAGTCGACAAAAACCTACAAGAAAAAAGCACAACTTTCCAGGAAAATGTCGAAATCATTGGCTATTTTCACGAAAAGTGTGACCAAACAAAATGAAGTCCAAGAAAACCTATTCAACCACATTCCTCATTGCAACTCGATTGAACTTTTGAGCTTTGGCCTATTTGATAGCTGAACTCCACGTAAAGTAAAAGCCTTCTGAAAATTTGTCAAGAGGTTCGGTCTGAGATTGATTTTGCAGTCATTCGTAGGAGATTGTTGTCGTGGATAGTAATGAGTAATCATGGTCATCAGACTGTTTATCGTCGACGGTGGAGGAAGTGATTCCAAGAGCAGCACGGATATGGGATATGGTTCTAATAAAATGCGACTAACCCTCAGTAATACATGGTTTTTAATACTCTAAAAGGTAAAAATTATTATAACGTACTTTACATATCAAACATTATGATATTATCTTATAGTAAAGTTCATGCATTATTAAGATTAATCTTTCCTTTTAGTTTTTACCTGATTGTAACTAACTAGTTGTAATGCAATTATTGTATTTTATTTTAAACATGCATTGAAATGGGCCCTTAGGCCATTAGTTGCCATTCGAAAATAAACATATGGTTGAATAAAAAAATGTGCTGTAATGTAAATCTGAAACCTGAATTTGTATGCAAGATCCCTTTAAAGTTTCAATGAAGCAATATGACTCACACTATCGTTGAAACTAGTATTATAATTAAGTGGAAAAGACACGTGCTTAAACTACTGTGTGTTAACATAAAGACAAGCCTGTAGTTATGGCAACGCTTTGTGGAAATGTATTATATAAGTAGAACCCATAGTGTGTATAGTTTCGTGCGAATAAAAGGTACGCACTGAAACATGTACAGCAGCGTATCATAAATTAATCTCTGTGCTATTCATTATACACATAACAACCGTATTGAAGCATGTTACAAACGTATAGATGCTTACTGTAATAGTAAAAGAGCGTTATTTATGTAAAATGTGTTTATTCCCTAAGTTATATATTCTTTCCAATAAACAACCGTTTAATAGTAGAAGGAAACATTTTCCAACTTGAACGTATTCTGGTTAAAATCTATTTTGCGTTAATATCGTGACATACGTATGCAAAACACGCAATCTTATGATTTACCCAACTTTCAATTAACATTGTGAGGTATGTAGCCATTTTGTTGGAGTTTCATAGCTAAATACTATGAAACGTGACTTTTAACAAAGGGTGCAAAAAGTTATACATTTCGTTTGTTCAGTTTTTTCTACATTATTCCAAAAGCCTTCCGACAATTATATTGTATCTACGTCCGTTATCATTTTAACCGACCTTCCCAAGAACCTCCAACATATTTGTCATTGTTTGAAAGTTACTCCTCACAGTCTGGAAAGATTAACCTCATATAGGCTAAAATGATCTTTGAATGCAAAAGCCTCAGGAACTGCCTCTAATCGACAAGAACAAATATGCTTAACGGTAAGTAGTTGTAATTTCTTTTCGTTGTTTTTCCTTTTGAACAAAACCTTCTTCTGCGTTATTGAGTGGTAGATTATACTGTTGCGTCAGCGATGTCACGTAACTAGTGTCACGCGACGTTTCTAGAACTATCCTGTTCCTTCGGGAGTGCTCTAGTATTTGCTAGATTGGGGGTGGTCTGCTATATATAAGATGGTCACGGCGTGACGTGACAATGTGTGTAGGTAGTGAGTAATTGAACTGCAGTCAGAAAGTATTGTTTAAGTTAACGTTCGTTGTTATAGCGTTTGTGATAGAGCGACTGTTGAAAATAAGTGTATCGGTAAAGTTATATTCAGAAAGAATAAACCAGTTTTATTAAGAAAGGACTTGTGTCGCTAAAGTTTCGTGGGAACGAAGTTACGGAAAATCAACTAACGAACGGAGACGTAACAAATTGGTGTCAGAAGTGGGATAAAAAAAAATGGAAACGAGAAGCGGCAAATCAAACTACAGCCTAGCAGACTTAATGAACTGTTGTAATTTCTCTTCTCGTTCTTCTTGTTTCTTTTGCTGTTCTTGTATTGCTGTCGTTAGAGGAAAAAGAAAAGAAACAAGAAGAGAGACAACAGCAGCTGCAAGAAAACCTGCAACAGTGGCAGCTGGAACAACAAAATAAACAAGAAAGATTACAACAGTTGTTGAAGGAAAAAGAAAAGAAACAAGAAGAGAAATTACAGCAATGGCAAGAAAACCTGCAACAGTGGCAGCTCGAGCAGCAAAATAAACAAGAAGATAAATTACAGCAGTTGTTGAAGGAGAAAGAACATAAACATAAAGAGAGACAACAGCAGTGGCAACTGGAACAAGAAAGGAAACAAGAAGTACAAATGGAAAACATTAGTAAATTTAAAAGCGAATTAGATACGTTAAAGGATGATTTATTGTCGTTTACACGAGGAGGATACATTAACCTTCGATCTAACCAGCCCCAGACAATGACAAGCCCCTTCCAGACTTTGCAGCTAAACCCTAATACAGGCATATTCAGTCCCGTTAGAAGTCACATCCCAGATATGAATGTCAGTAATAGGAGTGATCCAGTGCGAAGGAAGCCACA